ATATATATATATAAACTGATATATATTTTTCTAAATTTATATTCCTTGTTATATAATCATGTCACTTAACAACAAGATACATATCCTTAACATCATTTAAAATAAATTTATTTCATATATTAAAGAGAGAATTAATGTTATATGGTATAGTACGTAGGGAAACATGTACTCAACAGTACAATATAAGCGAGAAATACGCTTAGGAATGCTAACCATCCTATGAGCACTATAATATATTTCCATGGTGATCTTTTACTATTCGATTGTACGAGGTCAGTATTATCGTCCATGTCTGCTTCTATTGTGGCTGTCACAGCTGGATCTAGAATGCTAATTAAAAGAATTTGTCCAACTCGATTGCGCAAAATGGATGTCGTGACGATTGAGATCCACATGGGTGGCTCGGTAGTCAATTCTTGCAGATGCCGCAAGATACTGGTAACAATGAGAGTGAATGTTGCTATCCCAAGAGAGCTCTCGTAAAAGAAGACTAAAATAAAAAACATTTCAGATTGTTTTCCTTCTTTTCTTTTTGTTTCTCTCTATTACACGTAATTAAACTGAAAAAAAATTATCTAAAAAGCTAGCGGTCAGATGATAATATAATAATATATTTAAATATATAAGTGGGTGAATTAATTTTTCAGAAATTGATATATTAGGTGTAATAAAAAGAAATCCATTAGTTTTCCATTCAATTTCATGCAAAAATAATGGATTTCTTTTTACTACACCTAATATTATAATATTAGTTGCGTAAGATGTTAAGAATTGTAGATTTAAGATGAACGATATTATAAATAATTTTTTAAACGATTTTTTAAATTATTGTCTTATTAAATATACTTACGTATTTTGGGAATGTTAAAGCCACTTTTTGGTACTTCCCAATGCACGCCTTGTATACACAATAAATGACAAATAAAATTGAGATTAGCAATCACCATTCGCTCGAAAGATTTCGGTTCTAACCACAGTGTCATCAGAGTCATCACCATTAGTACTGTGAACATCAGGTATAAAATGCATTTAGATATTAAAATTAATAAAAAAAACAATAAAAATAAATTTATTTGTTAAAAATTAAATTATTATCTATCAACATGTATACCAAATTTAAATTATCAAAAAATTGTACAAAATTTGACCGCTTTTATATATGCTTTGGCTAATAAGAATAGTTTGATAATGAAATAATATTAATTAAAATTAAAGTAAAATACAACGAACCTATAGCAGGTGATAAAAATACAATGCGTATTATGCCCGAATGACTCCTCAGAATAAAGTGAAAAGAAATCATTTTGATGATCGAATCTGAATTGTACTTATATCTATTTTCCCATTTTGTTATATAAATTTTCTCTAAATTCCACTCGGTATGCTTTATTTCTATATTTGACTATAAAATTATTCAATTAGTAAAGTATAAGTATAAAAGTATTATTTAAAAAATCAATTGTTTTTGTACATATCATGCAAGGCATATTATCTAGATACAAAAATTAATTTGTTTTCATGGAAAAAGAATAAAATTATACCAAATTCTGGTTGGAAACAAGCTCGATTTCATCACCAGAATGTGACCACGATCCGAATTGTATAGTACAATTTAAGGTATTGTATGGCCACCACGTATAATCTGTAAAACAACTTGAGGTATATTTTGCTGCCACAAACCATCTAACTATCCCTTGTCTCGAGACCCAACATTTTGAATGTTCATTATTCAATGAGCTTTCTCCAAATTGTCTAAACATACAAATAACTTTATAAATTCTACTTAAATCTAATATTACATATTCCGTAATTTAAATGTTAGAAGTTAAGAAATATCAAGATATTTTTTACAATCTCAGATTTATTTTAACTTTCCGATATAATCTTATTGATGCTTGTTGAAATTGTACGATTGTTTTTCTGCCAGATGTCAATAGAAATCTTTTAACTGGCATAATACATTATTTGCTATAGTATTTTAATACACGTAGTATTTAAAACGTAATTATAAGAATAGAATTCTCGGATATTAGAAAATTAATATATTTACATTAAAAAATGGTAGCAGATATTAATATAATTATTGATAAATTTAAATGATAATCAATTACATAAATATAAAAATATCAATAAGAACTCTCATTTTTAAAAACAATAATTAAAACATTAGAACAAGGCTAATGAGAATCTAACGCTAATGTAAAAGCGAAGAATTAGGAAACGTAGATAATACTTAAGTGTTGGCGGTTGTCTTCATTTATTATATCGAACGTTTCAAACTATTTGACACGATATTAATCCGAGAAACGATTTGTGTTAATTTATATCTCATGAAAATTATGAATCGATGTTGAACTTCTTTGTTTTTCCGTTGAACGTATTGATTACTGCATTTCTGACAATCTGTGAGTGACTTACTTTCAACGAGGTATTATATTCTACTTTTTCGCTGAAGATTACTCCAAAGTGAGCCGCACATTCGATATAATAAATGAAGACAACCGCCAATACTTGAATATTATCTACATTATCTCCTAACTCTTCGCTCTTACATCAGCGTTAGCTTCTCATTAGTATTTCCTTGTTCTAATGTTCTAATTATTGTTTTTAAATGATAATGTTTTTAATTAGTAAAAGAATATATCGCTTACCCGTTATGCATCAAAACGTCGGGAATCCAAATTTGATAGCCTACTACAGGTATCCATTTAATGTTATCATATTGTGCAGGATCCCATGTCAAATGCGAATCATTCCACATCTGTCCAAACAAAAATATTAATATCAAACTTGTGTTGTAGAAACTTATAAAGTAATTATTAAAATGAAAGTACATTCAAAAATTATTCATCAATTAGACATTTGAATAATCGACAGATATATTACTTGCTTTTCTTAAACTCATTTCTTAAATACATTTATACGAATGTACTATTTCCACGCAATTATGTAGACTTACCATTGACATCCATGTATGCAACACGAACATTTCACTTTCGTGAGTCTAAAAAATAAATAGATGATATTTTTCGCAATAAGAATTTATTATTTACAGATTTTGATGTCATTCATCATTATTAAGATTGTTTCGAAGATGCGAATAAGCATCAAAATTTGTTAAATTGCTAGTCAACATGATGTTACTGCGATAATTTAGAGTTATCTTTTTTAGATCGAAAAATCATTTCGGCGCGCGTTTCTGAGACTACATATGTAGTATATAAATTCACACAAGAATCATACAAGCATTAAGATCCAGCTAGATCATTTAAAGCTTTTATTTTTATAGTTTATAAAAAATAAATTACAATTTTAAATTCGATTTTCTGAATCTTGATTTGTAAATTAAAACTAATTTTTTGTTTTTAAAATTACAAAAAAGATATTAATTCTTCACATTTTTTAATATTGCGCATATTTTGACTGATATTATTATTATTATTATCACAATTTTATTATTATTATTACTTACGTATTCAAAGAATTGTGGCTTCAGATAGAAATTCACACGCGTCATGTTATTGTTATGCTGGACCGGTCTTACATCTGGATCATATTCGCATAGGAGATGTCTTTTCAATTGCACCATGGGCGATATGTTTTCAGAGCTACAACTGTTTTCTGCTATCACATCGGTACATGCAATGAGACTAAATAGGAAGACGGAAAAGAAACTGTTTCTATCCATCTTGAATATCTATACGACGAATGGATCTACAATGACTGAATCGCTTAGCAATTGATTATGTGAGAGCAAATGATAATTATACGCCCAGTGAAACGTAAAACTGCAGACTATGAAGACCGCCCCTTTAGGAACAAGCTCTTATCAACAATAGAAATAATTTCATTTTTTTTTTAAATAAGAAACGATAAATACATTTTTTGGATGGAATGTATTATCTTAATTGTATTAATCTTTTTATTATTTTACGTTATTTCGTCTATTTTGAACTTGAAACTAAAAGATACAACATATATGTATAATATTTGTAATGTTTTTCATAATTATGATAATTTTGATAATTATACACAATTACGATTATTACAATTGCGATAATAATATTTGAATTTATGATAAATAAACAATTTTCGAGCAGATAAGAATAATGAAGATAAAAATCATCTAATTATTCAGAAAATCGAATTAAAAACC